TTGCCGCCCCCCCCGGGAGTCCTTGGCCCCCCATCCCTCCACGGCACTGGGCCGAGCCCCCCACCAGTGTGGTGCTGGCTCTCACGGCCACCGCTTTCTCCTTTACCCACCACAGGGAGCCGACGGACAACCCGGCGCTAAAGGCGAACAGGGAGAGCCTGGGCAGAAAGGTGACGCCGGTGCTCCCGGTCCCCAAGGTCCTTCTGGTGCACCCGGCCCACAGGTGAGTGAAGCTGGAGGTCGCAGACCCTGCAAAACCCTCCTGGATTTTTTTTCTCCGATGAGAAAAAGAAATCCAGGGCCAAATCCGGGCGGCCGATGGGAGCATCAGGGCTGGAGATGCTGCAGCCCGCGTGGGCGGCCCCAGCCCCCCTCCCCTCCAGATTACATGTCTAACCCCATTTTCTGCCCTTCCCAGGGTCCCACTGGTGTAACCGGTCCAAAAGGAGCCCGTGGTGCCCAGGGTCCCCCTGTGAGTATCGCTGGGGAGGGGTGGCCATGGAGCTGCGCCGGGCGAGCCGGGAGTTGAGGGTCTGATCTGTGTTTCTCTCCTTTCCCAGGGAGCCACTGGATTCCCTGGCGCCGCCGGACGTGTCGGACCGCCTGGCCCCAACGTGAGTTTGGGGATGGCCAGGATCACTCGACCCCATGGGTTCGGGGCTTGGAAGAGGCTTTTTTTGCTCCATGCATAAGGTTCCAAGCACAGGAGGGGACGGCGCATCCCAGCTCAGGGATTTCGCTCCGAGCTGCCCTGGGGCAGACGTTGAGCCAAACGGCTCCAGGCTGATGCCAGTCGGCTCTTAGCAATTCGTTAATCCATAGAAAGGGCCTTTCCAAGGGTTTTTGAGCATGGCCAGACCTGGAGCCCTCCCTGTGCGTCAGGAGGTTGCATTTCCCTTCGCTTCTCCCCCCCCAAATGGCATCGGGGCAAGTGGGCGAAGGCAGAAATGCTGCTGCCTTTTGCACCAACTGCTTCTTCCCCACTAGGGTAACCCAGGCCCCCCCGGCCCTCCTGGATCTGCCGGCAAAGATGGTCCCAAAGGTGCCCGTGGCGATGCTGGTCCCCCAGGCCGTGCCGGCGACCCCGGTCTCCAAGGCCCTGCTGGTCCCCCTGGCGAGAAAGGCGAACCTGGAGAGGACGGCCCCGCGGTAAGTTTTTCGGAGGGGTGGTCCTTGATCTGCACCACACGGCGCTGTCCCGCTGGATCTCATCCTCCCCCTCTGCCTTTTTGCAGGGTCCCGACGGCCCCCCTGGTCCCCAAGGCTTGGCAGGACAGCGCGGCATCGTCGGTCTGCCCGGTCAGCGAGGCGAGAGAGGCTTCCCCGGTCTGCCGGGGCCATCGGTGAGTTGCTTTATACCCGCGTTGCAATGGACAGAACAGCTCCGGCAGCTCTGGGAAGGAGCAGAGCAAGGTCCAGTGCGGCCCCGGAGCAGCAAGAGGTGCATTGCAAAGATGCACAGGGGTTTTTAAGAGGATTCAGCATGTGGGAACAGTTCAGGTAGGGCTGACCCTGCTGTACAACATGTAGGGGGAGCAGAGGAGCCCTTCACTCCTCTTCCAGACCTGCTTCCGGCAGCCCTGCGGCACGCAGAGGTCCGTGTGTCAGGCCGAGTTGGTGAAACTGGAAATTGCCGGGGCATTTGAAGCTCCACTGCAGGCTTTAAGTCCTCCCTGGCCCAATTTCCAAGCGTGACCACGGGTTTTGCAAAGCTGGGTTTTCTCCACCACCGCAGGAGCCGCTGGCGGCAGGCGCTCAGGCGGCCGGCGTTGGGGGCGGCCGATTTCCAGCCCCGAGCAACCAGGGAGGCGCTTGCATTAAAGCAGGGGCAGCAAGTAGCAGGGGGGATTGATGCTTTTTTTGCACAGGGAGGTCTGGAAGCCTTAAAACAAACCAGCTGCCAGGCCAATGGCCACAGCCCCGAGCAACCAGGGAGGCGCTTGCATTAAAGCAGGGGCAGCAAGTAGCAGGGGGGATTGATGCTTTTTTTGCACAGGGAGGTCTGGAAGCCTTAAAACAAACCAGCTGCCAGGCCAATGGCCACGCAGGGATGCCCAACTCACCAGCGTCTTCTCTCGTCTTCTCTCCTCCCATCTAGGGCGAACCTGGTAAACAAGGAGCACCCGGCTCCGCGGGCGACCGCGGCCCTCCTGGCCCCGTGGGTCCCCCCGGGCTGACAGGTCCCGCCGGCGAACCTGGGCGCGAGGTAGGTGAAACGCCAGCAAGCAGGGCGAGAAGGAAGGGAACTGGAGCGCTTCCTGGGTGCCTCCAGCCGTGCCGATGCCGCGATCCTGGGCTGTAGCCAAAACCCCAGCGACGGGCATTGATTCCTGCCACGAGAGCCCTAGGGCTCGTTCAGCTCCTAGCAATCACCAGGGCCTCTTTGGCGGCAGTGTTTGCTTTGCCGGGGGTGGGGATTTATAGCCAATTCCCATGATTTCGCACGCATCCCGCTCCCCTCCGTGGGGAAACACTCCACCGGGGCGTAACTTCTCTCCTTGTCCCCAGGGCACCCCCGGCTCTGACGGCCCCCCAGGCAGAGACGGCGCCGCCGGCGTGAAGGTGAGTTCACCCCGTGGGAAATCTGTCCCCGAAGCCCCTTCTCCTGGCCAAAAAGGCCCTTTTTTTGGTGCAAAAACTCCTTCCCTCAGCCATAAGCTCCCAGGGTGCTGGCACTGAGCATCCCTTCCCGAGCATCCTTCCCCCCACGAAGCCGCCAAGGGTCCGCGCCATCCTCACGGCCCCGTTGTCTCCATGCAGGGCGATCGTGGCGAGACTGGTCCTGTGGGTGCTCCTGGTGCTCCCGGCGCCCCTGGCGCTCCCGGCCCCGTCGGTCCCACCGGCAAACAAGGAGACAGAGGCGAGACGGTGAGTGCCGGTGCCTGCCATGCAGTCGGGGCAATGGCTCATTAGGTTTAGGGGCTCGTTAAGCAAGTCACCCCCCAAGTGCAGATAAATGCCAGAATAATTGACAGCATCACCCAGGGTGCAATTAAAAGCTCAGAGTAATTGGGAGAGTCAGGCGGGTGCACGGCGGTCGCTGGCTCGGAGTGGCGCCCGGGGTCCCGTTAGCGGCTGCCAGTGATTCGGAGCATCTTCCACAGGATTCATTAGTGTGTGGAGCCCAGTTAGGTCTCTGCACATGCACAAGCACTGCCCAGGGAGCAGTAAATGCCCTGAGAGCCTTAAGCAGGGAAAATCTGCCAAGGCAGGCTTTAAAAGCAAGTAGCTTTAGGTGGGGAAGGAATTATTTGGAGTGAACACTCTGGCTGAGAGTATTTAAAGATGCTGTTTAGAGCCAGCAGCTGCTGTTTTTTGCCAGCATGGTGGAGAGCTTGTTTGTGCTGGGCTCCGGCTCACGGGTTGGGGCTTGTCTGCCCGTCGGGGCAGGTTCAGAGACCCCCAAAGACACCCCTTATGTGCACGAGATGCACGAACGTGGCAGGGTTGTACCTCCTCGCAGTGCAGCTCTCAGCCCAGCTCCTGCTGACTCCCCTCTTCTCTCTCCCCAGGGTGCTCAAGGGCCCATGGGTCCCTCCGGTCCTGCTGGTGCTCGGGGCATGCCGGTGAGTAACACTCATCCCACGCTGCCGTCCACCCCTGCCTGCAATGCGCTGGGGTCCCGCGGCACAGTCAGTCGCCTGCCTGCACCCGACGGCTCCTCCGCTCTGCTTCCAGGGTCCCCAAGGTCCTCGCGGCGACAAGGGTGAGACTGGTGAGGCTGGAGAGAGAGGACTGAAGGGTCACCGAGGCTTCACTGGGCTGCAAGGTCTTCCCGGACCTCCCGTAAGTGTTTCCCGCAGGTCCCCGACACTCAGCCCTGCAAAACCCTCCAGGTCGTGCTCCGGGGTTGCTCTGGCCACAGAGGGAG